GGGGGGGGGGGGTCCCCATCGGGGGTCTGTGGGTGGCGGCCGGCAAGGGAACGCCCCCAGCGTCACTGTCTTGCCCATCCCATTCATTGCAGAACGTCTCCCACAGCCCAGCTGGAGGTTCTCGGTGGGGGCACTCCGCCCAGACGGGAAGAGGCAGGTGACTCTGGATGGGCAGGTAATGGGCCGGCACAGGGCTGTAGGGTGGCCTGGGATGGGCAGAAGGAGACAAGAAAGAGGCTGGAGTCGGGTCACGAGTAGGACATGGGGAAGAGCCATGGAGGTGGCAAGGACCGTGGGTTTAACTCTGCAGGGTAATTGGGAGCAATGGAGGGTATGTGAGCAGAGGAGGGATATGGCGGGGTTCAGGTGTTCGTAGACTTCCCCTGGCTGCCAGGTGGGGGCCAGATTGTGAGGGGCTGGGGTGCAAGCCGGCAGGCCAGGGGTCGGCCATGTCAGTCTAGATGGGAGATAATAAACAACCCGTTAAAAGCAGTCTAATTAACCCCCAGTCTAGATGGGAGATAATAAACAACCCGTTAAGAGCACTCTAATTAACCCCCAGTCTAGATGGGAGATAATAAACAACCCGTTAAGAGCACTCTAATTAACCCCCATTTTACAGGGAAGGAAACTGAGGCACAGAGGGAAACTCTCCTGGCCAAGTCAGGGTGCAAAACCACCAAATGTTGCGCCGCCTGGCTTCACCATAATTAACGCGGCCAGCTCCCTAACGGACTGGGCTGTCGCGGTAAAGGCTGCAGTAAAGCTCTTTCACTTCCTGGCTTTCCTCTCATTCGAATTCCTTTTCTTAGGAAAAATTTCCAGGCTTTTCCAAAGATGGAAAAAAAAAAAAAAACCCACCAAAAAAACCCCAGAAAACGAAAACATTTTTTTCCCTGGCTCTCTGTGAGTTTCGCCAAATTATTTCCCCCTCAGACCAACATGCACTGGACATGAATGGCTATCTTCCAACCGCCCTGGCAGCACGGAGGGTTTCTTTTTGGGGGACAGGGGGCGGGGGCTGGTTGTGTTGTTTTGTTTTAATTTTTGGCACAGGCCCTGGCCCATGGATGAGTCTGCCCGGGGCCGCACCCTGGGGATGATGACCGGGGTCAGGCCTCCGCAAGCAAGCCGTCTCTCACACTCCCCACAGCTGCCCCAGCTTGAGCTTCCAGAAGGCTGCCTCAGGTCCAAGTCTGGCGGGGAGGTGACCTACCGTGTCCACCTGCACATGCTGTCCTGCCCGTGTAAGCCCAAGGCCACAAAGACCTTGCAGCTGAGAAGGTTCATCAATATCTCCGGCGCCGCCTATGACCTGGCTGTCGTCTCCCAGAATCGCTTCGGCCCCGGCCCCAACCAGACGTGGCACATTCCTGCCCATGCCCACACCCACCCAGGTGTCTCCTCTGGCCGGGGAGGGCTGCGGGAGGGCCTCTGGGATCTGAGAACCTACTCTGAGCCTCCGCCAGGCAGGGGGGCCGGGGGGGGGGGGGGGGGGGGGGGGGGGGGGGGGGGGAGCGGGGAGGCAGGTGAGGCACAAAGTGAAGGGGGTGTCGAATTTAGGAACGTGTCAAAATCAACTAGGGCATGTCATGTTACAACGCAGTATTTAAAGCAAACGAGCAAACAACAAAACTCTAGCTGGCAAAGTACAGCCCAGACCAACCACCTGTTTTTGTAAATAAAGTTGTACCGGGACCAGGGTGAGATCAGGGTGTGGTGGGCGAGGCGGGCACAGGATTGATCCTATCTTCACTTAAAATCTTGATATCTGGGGCGCCTGGGTGGCTTAGTCATGAAGCATCTGACTTCGGCTCAGGTCATGATCTCGCAGGTTCGTGAGTTCGAGTTCCGCAGCAGGGGAGCTCCAGCCCCGCTTCGGGGGAGCCCCGCTTCTCCCTCTGTCTTCCTGTCTCTCCCTCTCTCTCGCTTGCGCCCCCCCTCTCTCTCAGCATAAAATAAAAATCTTGATGTTTGTTCATTATGTATACATATACATAATTAAATATGTACATGTATTTATGCATATGATGAAACAAATCAAGATTTATATTTATGTATACGGGCACGTATGCGCACACACATATTTTATTGAGGTGAAATTCGCGTAGCAACACCAGCCACTTTAACAGGTGCGATTCAGTGGCATTTAGGACATTCACAGTGATGTGCAACCGTCACCTCTGTCCGGTTCCAGAACATTTCTATCACCCTCAAAGGCAGACCCCGTGCCCATCAGTCGTCACTCCCCATCCCCCTTCTCCCCAGCCCTTGGCAACCACTAACCCGCTTTCTGTCTCTATAGATTTCACGGAAACGGGGTCACACACCACGTGGCCTCTTGTATCTGGCTTCTTTCACCAGCATAACGTTTTCCAAGTTCATCCACGTTTCCTTTTTATGACCGAGGAATATTCTATCGCGTGGCCGGGACCCCGGCGCATTGACCTGTTCATCCGCGGATGAACACTTGGGCTGTTTCCACCTTTTGGCGATTGTAAATTGTGCCCATCACATACTTTTCCGTTCATGTTTTGACTTCTTTAGCTTTATTTATATTTTATTTTATTTTTAATGTTTTATTGACTTATTTTTAAGAGAGAGAGAGAGAGAGAGAGAGAGAGAGAGA